TTAAGATGATTATCGACGAGCGTCAAAGTGGAATGCGGGCAACGGATTCCGCTTCGATTTTCAACGGAAGTTTAAACGTACGAACTTTAACCTGCATGAGGGACAACGAGCTTTTGCTTTTCTGTCAGAAAAGATGGTACCAGCGTACTCTCTCTATCTCTCTCTTTTTTCTCTCTCTCTCTCTCTCTCTCTCTCTCTCTCTCTCTCTCTCTCTCTCTCTCTTTCTATCTCTATCCCTATCTCTATCTCTATCTCTATCTCTATCTCTTTCTCTTTCTTTATCTCTCTCTCTACTTTAGCGCTTCTCAAAGATAATCGGGCGATTATTTGTCGTGGCACGTGTAATTATCCATCATCTTCATCTTTAAAGAGGACAAAGATTTCGTCGGAACTTCCATCAAACTTTTCCTATCGATTTCGCCGTTATAGACGATCTTTCAAAGCAAAACGACAGCTCGCAAATGGAGAATTTGATGGATGATCCCCGAGATGGTTATAATTATTCGATGTTTACGTTCGTATTATGTATATCCAAAAAATTAGAGCAACGTTGGCCGACGATAATTTCAACGAACTAATAATTGTTTCGTTCTTATTGAAAAAAAAAAGAAAAGAAAAAAAGAATACAGAAACAAAAGAAAAAAAGAACAACGCCACTTTGTCAGATATATTTTTCTATTTTTTAAAAAAATTTTCATTATTCTTGGCACGGAGAGCGAGTGTACTCTGACGCAAAGTGAATTATTAAAAAGAAAGAGAAAGAGAGAGGGAGAGGGAGAGAGAGAGAAAGAAAGGGAGAGAGGGAGAGAAAAAAGGGAGAGAGGGAGAGAAAGAGAGAGAGAGAGAGAGAGAGAGAGAGAGAGAGAGAGAGAGAACGAAAGAAAAAAAAATGATTAACTAAGTACACTTTAATCGTCAAACAACAGAAACAGGAGAAGACACCTTCGTTTGTTCATCGTCTCTTTTAAATATTACACGTAAATTTTCGCATCTTTCTCAACCTGTTGAGTAATAACGCGTCTGTTATAATAGAAAAATTCAGGTAAATATATTTTATTCCATTCATCGATCGGTCAACGCTTGAATTTTGAAACACGACCAACTCATATTCAAACGCGTTCATGAGTTTGCAACGAATATTCGTAGAAATTAAATTATTCTCATGAATAAAGAAGGTATGTATATGTATGGGGAAAAAAAAAAAATAAAAAAAAGAAAAAAACAGAAAAAAGAGAGAAAGAAAGATAGAAAAATTAAAATTAAAATTCTTTGAACAAAATCATGTGAGAAATGAATCGATAAAAATTAACACTTGGTATACATATATGATAATGCTTCTCTCTCTCTCTCTCTCTTTCTTTCTCTCTCATTCTTCGGGAAGATAAATTGCAGGACGTTACGTGACAAAAGCCGTGATGCGAAAGTACGTTTTTCGCTGGAACGTAGGTGAGCCTCGGTAGTGAAAGCACTCCTAATGACTTGCTACGGGAACAAAAACAACAGGAGGGCTGGAGCTTTTACCGCGACAGATCCTCATAAAAGTTTCCGTCCACGAGGGACAACAACTTCCCTTTTAGCAGCTTCGATCGGGCTGTTTGGCCGTGTTTAATTACGTCGATTAAAGCGTCCCGTGTCACCGCAAAGCGGTTCTCATGAACATCGACCACGGACCTATCTTTGTCTCTCGAGGGAGGAAGCCAGGATTCGACCTTATCTCTGTATGTCTCTTGCTCTCTCTTGCTCTCTCTCTCTCTCTATCTATCTATCTATCTATCTATCTATCTATCTATCTATCTATCTATCTCTTTCTCTTCCTAGTCTACCAGAAACCTTAATACGAAAGCCAAAGCTGCACGTGATAGGTCAATCGGTTCGTAGAATCGAACTCCGATCGACATCGAAGAACCAACCTGCCGTGCACGTTCCTACCATCGAAAGTTTTCTCTCTCTCTCTTTTGGTCTCCATACTATCGATTCATATGTCCATCGGTGTCCACACTCGACTGATTTAGCCGAAATTCTTTTTCACGTTCCAACTCGAGAAAATGATATCGGACCCAAATCGGACCCAATTGATTCTCCAGACCTTCTTCTTTTCCAGGACAGGAATAAGTAATTGTAAATTCGTTGAGAGACAGAGAGAGAGAGAGAGAGAGAGAGAGAGAGAGAGAGAGAGAGAGAGAGAGAAAGGGAAAGAGAGAGGTAAACGAGTAAGTCCATCGAAAATCGAAGGAAAAAAAATAAAGTAACTAGATCAAATTTATCGATTAGCTATTATCGATTTCGAAAAGTTTGTTTACTAGTTCGATACGGGTAGGACCGAAACTATCTAAATTCCAAAAGCTAGATATTCTTATCGATCGACGAAGAACGTCATTCAAGTGCACCGATTTGTCCAATCGGTCACTTTCCTCTCTCCCTCTCTCTCTCTCTCTCTCTCTCTCTCTTTCGATTTCTAACACGCTTCGTCGAGTTTCGAAGTCCGAAGTGAAATTTGCTTCGTTCCATAAACGGGTAAGCCCGTATCGGTATCTTTCCTCGAAAAGGATAGAAGCGATTAGAGTTCGAAAAGATTTGTTACGAGAAATGCTTCGACGATTGAACAAGGGAAAAAAAGCATTTTTCATCGTGATCGTAAATAAAAAAGAAAAAGGCCAGAAAAATAAGAACAAAAAACAAAAAAAAAAGAAAAAAGAAAAGAGAAACAAACAAACAAGGAAAAAAAAAAGAAATAAAAAGATACGAGAGAAAATAGAGATTGAATCTTAATGGTAACGGAGAAGGAAGAAAGAACTTCTATGTTGTCGTACCAATCGGATGAAAAAAAAAAAGGTTAGGTTGATTCGTCACAGTCTAGGACGATCAAGCGAGTCAATTTAACTCTTCTATCAATTCCCCTCGCGTACGACGCAAAGCGTGAATTTAAACGAGAGAAATCACGAACGATTCGAGCCCCATAGTCGAGTCCGTTCCCTTTTTGTAATCATAATCAATCGATCTCTTTTAATTCGGGCAATCTCATTAGTTTCGAGTGATCGATCCCGAGCACGTAGATGGAGGCTGATCAAAGAGTAAATCCGGGCGAATCTCGTAACTGACTCTGATCATCGTTAAATCAGGATTATCCACTCGGAATACCTGAAGGACGTGCTCGATTGCTAACGATCGGAAGATTAATTTCGCGGCCAATCAACGTTTCAAGGACGAACCCAAAGAAACGATGTGGATCGGAACATCTAATATGTTTTACACGTTCGATGACCGACCATAATAATTTAGGAATAAGACGAATCCAACGATCAGTTTGATCTTCGTTCGAAATCTAGTTATCCTTCTAATCCTCCCTGTCTATCTGTCTGTCTTTCCGTCTGTTTGTCTATCTCTTTCTCTCTCTCTCTCTATTTCTCTATTTCTCTCTTTCCATCTCTCTAGTTATTCTGATCCGGATTTCAACTTTCCCCTATCTATCGAGATACGCTCGAATTTCATTCCAACAGACGTTTCCCTTATCACCGACCACAGTATCCTCGACTATTTTCACTTTGATAGGTCCAAGGGATAGCCGTAAAAGGAACAAGTAATTGTAATTTCGGTTTAACCGAAAGTCTTAAGGGAACGAGTTAATCTGTTCTAAACAAGGCTTATGGGTTCTATTATTTTCTAATAATATTTCGATGAAGATTTTAGGAATTATTAACATCACTCGAAATAACTATGCCATGTAAGATAAAGGTATTATCGATTATTCATCTTTCTCTCTCTCTCAATCTCTCTCTCTCTCTCTAAACTATATTTCTGAACTTACTATGTTCAAAACCTCTAGCCGCGTAAGTAGGTATAGTATAGAGCAAGGAGAACTCTAACTCTCTACCTCTTGCTAGTAAAGGCAACGCTTAAGGGCGGACAACCGTGCAACGGCACGCCTTGCTGGCAAACTTTCTCGTAGTAAAATGTCCGATCAAGACTATCCATTTCCTTACTTAAGTTAGCATCGTGTACATACATACATACTTCGATGAATATAATACAAGCGAATAGGTTAAGCGAAGGATTAAACCTGAGAAATACATACATATGTTAAAATAACCGGAAATTCTCTTACGTCCTCGTGCATCGTTTTACGACATACATATACACATGCAAATACTTACACACACACACACACGTGCGCGCGCGCGCGTACACTAAGAGAGAAAGCAAATTTATGAGGGAAAACCCAAGGACGTCTATTCGAAGTCCACAGGAAATTATTTCATTTCCTATAGTCTTTATTTTTCCTTCATTTTTCCTTCGTCGTATTCTCCCCTAAGTTTTTCCAACCCTAACAGTAGACGTACACACCGAGAGATGACTTATTTAATTTTTCATAATACACGACTACGACGACAATGGCAAAGAGAGAAAAAATCTTTTTCTCTCTCTCTCTCTCTCTCTCTCTCTCTCTTTCTCTCTATTTCTCTCTTTCTCTTTCCCTTTCCCTGGAGAAATAAAACTGCTGCATACGTAGATAATGAAATTTGTTTAAACTGCTGGCACGCGTGTCCCTAAATTTATTCTATTAATTTTTAAATTCCGGTCAACCCCAAGGATTCCAATAGTTTCTCCTTGGAATCTCGATAACGTAGGGTGTACTTTACGATACTAACGTTCGGTAGTTCCGATGAAAAATCTATGAAGTCACGTTTTTTACGATCTCAGAGGCACTTTTTTTCATACTTTCAACACGTCGTCGGAAGTGATACGAGGGAATAATAAACGTTATATAGAGTTAATGATGATAATGACGATTACGATTACGATTATGATATAGTTTCAATAAAATTAAAAATCTAAGAAATAAAAGGATACAAAAATGAGATAGACTTACAAGATGATAGCTGTTTAGATAAATAAAAAAAAAAAAAAAGAAAAGAAAAAAGGAAAAAAAGCAAAAAAAAAAAAGAAAAAAAATGTAAAGAAGCTCTATCTATTCGATCTATTTTCTCTATCGTTGCTTACAGAGATGTGAGGAATGATCACGTGGGTGATGGTCGGGTTGCTCCTGGCTGCGGAAACTTGCGGCAGAAACGTCCAATCTGGAAACGGGAAAGAGGAAACGAAACAAAGAAACGGTTTGAAGGGAATAGCCACGGATGAGGAGGACATCTATCGTGAGTATATACTTATATATATTATATATGTACACGATACCGAAAAATACTTAAAACGAGAGGAGAAAAACGAAGCATCTAAAGATGGAACAAAATTGAACTTCTCTTCGAACTCTCGAAAAAATATATAAAAGAGGAAGATGAAATGGACCCAATGATTTGTTCGACTAGCTTGAGTTTATTCTTTTATCTCACATATCACATAATTCGTCTAAACCTTTTATAAATCTTTTCTCTTTCTATCTCTCTCTTTCTCTTTCTTTCTCTTTGATAAATATATATACTAGTATATTCCCTCGATCGAGCATAATGGACAATTAAGATTTGAAAAAACATTTTTATATTATTTTCTTTCGTAGTAATATATCAAGATAATTCGCATTACTTCATATTATACGTAATTCGAAATATAAAGTAAATATTTTCTCGCTTGGCTAAAGTACTATCATCGATTGTTCGTGACAAAGTGCAAAAAATGTGGATAAAAGATATAGTCCGTGGTCCGGAAGATTGAAAACCGTTGTAATTTACGAAATATAATTATTTTCTCGTGGCCAAATTTCAAATGCAGATCCGTAAAAACATCGTGTTTACAAAGAACACAGAATAACGGACTACGAACTGCGGAATACAGAATAGAAAATACTGAACACGAAACACAGAATACGGAATACTAAACATGGAACATGGAGCACGAAACATAAAACACAGATTACAAATCACAAGTGACAATCACAAAATCATTCAATTAATGTAATTCTAGCGTAACCAGTATTTCACAATTTCCTCAACTTGTTTCGGAAAGATAGTTGATACATTGAAATTATCTGAACATTATGATATGCGTAACTAGAACTAGATGTTTTAATTTTATTGTTTATCTATTTATTACGATAGTACAGTGTATGTATGTATGTGTATACTGACAATAACAACTGTCATTCAATCATTTTCGTTCTCATGGAGATAAAGTAAATATTCTTGTCGATTTCTCAATCTGAAAATGTTCTATATAACGTTATACTCCAAATTTGTTTGACTTCTTAATGAATCATTTGAAAATAAAGTACATAAGTTTTGTTATTTTATTTATATTCTTTACATTTTTTTTTTTTTTTTTTTTTTATAGAAATGTTTTTTAATAATGAGACTTCCTGCGTACAAAATGAAGAACGACAAAGAGTGTTAAATCGTATTATCGATGTGTTGATCATTTTCCAAGGTATCGTTTACGAGCGATTTTTAAATTAGATAAATTCATGATAATTCATAGTATTCACGAAAATAGTAAATATTTTGATATCATCAAAGAATTTCATAAATAAAATGATTAATTATCTTCGATTGTTGTAAAATTTAACAAGTAATTAGTAAATCATTTATAAACGTGGTAACTTATAAAAAAAAAAAACGTTACTGACATTTAAAAATAATTCGTCAGAGTAATTACAGCTAAGTAGTTTGGTAACAATAGATTCCGACTTTTATAGCCGACCAACTAAGTTTGCGTTAGTAGAACCCTTGTTTACCGATCGTTAATAGTAATTTTCAGAGCAAAACAAAAAAGGATACGAGAGGATAAAATAAAATCGAATAAGATTGAATAGGATCGAATAGGACCGAATAGGGCCGAACAGGACTGAATAGGATCGAACAGGATCGAATAGGACCAAATAGAATAGAATAGGACAGAACAGGACTGAACAGGATCGAACATTATTGAATAGGATCGAATATATTCGAATATATAGGGTCCAAAAGGATCGAATGAGACAGAGTAGGATCAAATAAAATCGAACAAGACAGAATAGAACTGAATAGGATCGAGTAAATATGAATAGGATCGGATAGGATCGAGTAAATATGAATAAGATCGGATAGGATCGCAAAGGATTGAATATATTCAAGCAGAACCTAATAAGACTAAAATGAGGATAATAGGATCCGAATAAATAATAAGACCGAATAGGACCGAACAAGACTGAAGAGAGCATAATAGGATCAAACTATGGATGAAATAGAACAGAATCGAATAGGACTGAACAGAACTACAAAGGACTAGTCGGATCGGATAGGTAGGATCTAGTTCGTCTTGTATCGGATCGAATCGGATCGGACGAAATGATTCGAGTCATATGCTTTTAGGTGACTTCATTCAGCTCGGTTAGATTCGGTTGGATTCGGTTAAACTCGGTTTTCCTTGGCTCAGAATTTTATCTAGGATTTAGTCTGGAATTGTGTTTGGGATTTTATTTGGGATTTTGTCCGAAGTTTCATCCGGTGTTTTGTCTGGGATTTTGTCTAGAGTCTTCGGACATTTTCGGTTATCTTCAACAATCTTCGTTTATCTTCGGCAATCTTATTCGATCATATTCGGTCCTATTTGACTTTATTTTATCCCAGTCCGGCCCTATTCAACATTATTTGATCCTGTTACATCCTTTCCTATTCTGTAAAGAAATCTATTATTAACGATCAGTAAATATACGGCAGTAATTATACGGCCACAAAAGCAGGACTATAATTATTTGGATATAATGCAATAATAAATATCATTAATACGTTTTTATAAATTGCCATATTTAAAAATGATTTATCAATCACTTGTTAAATTTACGACAATCTAAGAGAATTAATTATTATATTTACTATTGACTATTTACAAAGTTCTCTAATGACATCGAAGAATTTTATTATTAGATCTTTTTATTAGAATCCAGAATTATTGTGAATCTACGTAACTTAAAAATAATGCTCGTAAATGATACACATTTAATATTATACGGACATTAAACTAAGACGCGCTATTTTTTTTTTTTTTTTTAGACGCGCAAAATATTATGCGATTTAAGAGAAGAGTTTGACAAAAAAAATGCAACGAACTAACACTAATGTTGATTTGTCACTTTAACTCTTACAAGTAACACTCTATTATGAGGAAAGGTAATATATTCGTTAAAGTAGAAATTAATGCAATTAGGTAATCGCATGATAATACGTTCTAATACGCTCAAATGTAACTGATATATTATTTCTTTGACTTACTATGATATTGTCTGACATTGTAAACGAACGTGAATAATTTTTGACTTAAGTTTACCACGCAACACGTTTGTTGTTGGATCCCCGAGAATTTCATTTTAATGGTTAGCAAGCAAACCAAGTAACGCGTCAATAAAGAAAACCAAACTACCTAACAGATCGTAATGGGAAGTGGTGGAAATGTTGGAACAATGGAACAAATGACGATTGTTACACATGCGCAGAACGCGATACTATTTCTCTCTTTCTCACCCTCTCTCTCACTCTCTCTCTCTCTCTTCGTTTCTCTCGTTTCTTCTTGCATTTACTCAATTACTACTCCTCTCATTTTGAATTTTCGCACATATGCAGCCACATAATAATGCGTAATTTATCAATCCTAATAATTTATTGTTATAAATAATGAAATATTCATAAACAACTTTATAGAAATTAGTTCAAATTAAATATAAAAGTCATATAGTGCCGATTTCTGAGAGATATATTTTTTTTTCTTCATCTTTTTTACGAATAATAATCTCATTAATGTAATTTCTTAATGATCTTGTTATTAAAAAATGAAATGCTTTGTCGAATACTTTCCTTTCATTGTTAATATATAATTCTGAAAGAAATAGACACAAAACTAATATTAAAATAAATGACTAATAATCATTCATTCTTTTTTAACGAATTTCTATAAAAAAAAAACTAGTAGCGGAATACTAAAATTAAATGTAATATTCAAAATTTTAATTAAATTATAATACCTACACTTTTTTTAATATAACTCAAGTCTGATAATTATGTTTTAATTATAATTATATATGTATATGTATATAGAGTTTGTTAACGTAATGGTAACTATGATTTTTAAAATCTAAAACCTTTTTTTTTTTTTATTGATAAAAGTGCAAAATCACCTTGACTTTTTTAAACGGAACCATTTTGTTTCTTCTTTTTAATAACAATGTAAACAGCAAAAAACAAATCTAATGAATACGTACAATATTATTTTAAGCTATATTACAACTCTTAATAAACAGAGTTAAATTTGTTATCGAGAGACGTAAAAGACTACAAACATAATGAACAAAATAATAAACAACAAAACTAAATATTTAATATTTCGTTTGGCATTTTGGACGGTCATTTAATTGGACTGTACTTTTACGAGGAAAAACTAATGTTCTATCTGGGTATAAAACATTTCAATTTAATTGATGCTACACATAATTATTTATTAAAAAGAGCGAAACTTTCTGTTGCAAAAGGTAAAATGCAATTTAAACATCTACTTTAACTGGTATGTTATTACGTTAATATGCTTTACTAAATTTTTTTACGTTTTTAGCGAACAACCACGATAACGAAGAATTACGCTTTGGCAAATACTAAATTGTTGCAAAAATTAAAAACTGGAAAACATATCAACTTGCCTCGGCCTCTTTTACTACATGTCAGCCGTATATCGACCTTCTCTCTTTCTCTCTCTCTCTCTCTCTCTCTCTCTCTTTCGCTCGTTTAAAACCTTGTATCCAGTTTTATAGCTAATATTTCCGCAAGTTAAGTAGCCTAAATTTTCCGTCGAATCCTAAAAAGAAGTTATATAAAATTTCATCTGGATCGGACAAAAATAGTCGAAGTTTTTGAGAAATTGCGAACACATAGATTAAGGCTTTATTTATATATATATATATATATATATATATATATATATAATATATAAGTTCTATATAATTCTAAACGATAGGACACGCCATTGTTCCGAAAAATGTCCCAAACTTCGTGTCCCATTTCTATTTCGAAGGAGAACATGCTTCTTCCTCATACTCTAGTTTGCCTGTCGACTTTATATTATCGAAAGTTTGAACTACCAGAGGATTGATTGTCGAAAGAAAATCGAGATGGTGGAAGAGAAACGATCGAACGAATAGCGGTAGCAGAGCACCCATCGCGTCGTTCTAAACTCACCTTCAATACTGGGAGTTTAGAGTTCTGCGAAATTCTACTATTTGCTTTGAACGATCCTATACGATAAGATAGATAGATATATATGTGATCCTCTTTTTTATTCCCGTTAAGCGTTAGTTACGAGAGGATTAACAAAGGTCCAACGCGCGAGTATAACACGACAGAATCGATCGCGATGGTTGAAAACTGAACGAGCAGGTGTTATGTATCAAATTAATAACTGATATATATATATATATATATATATATATATTTATATATATATATATATATTTATACGTGTATATGAACGGTAATTGACAAAAATAATTATTTACTTATTAAATAAATTATTTTAAAAATTGTATATATTTGTTTTTCTTATAAAAGAAAAAGAAAAATTATTTTTTTTTAAATACATTTTGACGATATATTTGATAAAATGTATCAAGTTAATAACTAATATATATATATATATATATATATATATATATATATATTATGCATATAAACAATAATCACCGGGGAATTTAGCCATCCACGGACTTGAGGCGTTATAAATTTTTGCTTGGATTCCCATTAAAATAAATCAATTATGTAAAACATATATTTACTCTCTTCAATTAAATTCATGAGAATGATAAACTAAAAAATATATTGTCCATAATTGATTATAAATACAAACATAGAAATAAAAATTTCATTTTCGGCAAGTAAATATTAAATTAAATTTATTATATAATATAATTTATTATATAATATAAATTTTTATTGTATCGTGTGGGGACCCTGTATTACGGGGCCCGAAATGTTTGCCTCCAATGCATGTATATAAATCTGTCAATGACGATGATTTGCAAAACTAATTATTTATTCATGGAACAAATTTCTGGTAATTATGTAGATTTTACTTTTTTAATTGAAAAAAGAAAAAGTATCAGTTTAATAACAGATATAATATATACATATATATATATATATTATATATATTATATATATATATATACATATACATATATATAATCTGTTTGTATATATACGAAAGATAATTTGTTTGGAAAATAAAACGAATTTGATTTTCTCTGAAAGGAATATATAGAAAGTTATTTTTCTTCCGATACATTTTGACGACAAATTTCATATGATATAAGAAAAAAAAAAAAAAAAAAAAAAAAAAGAAGAAAAAAAAAGAAAGGAAAAAACGTAGATATATCTTAAAAAGGAAATAATCTAATAAACGCTTCCTCATCGTCTATCTCTTTTCCATTGTTTCAGGTCTAACGTGCTACACTTGCGTCAACGTCAGCGACAACCAGGTATCGACGAGTCCATTAAACTCTCCTTTAAGAGTCCCTAATGCCTCGATCGTGTGCCAGCTTGGAGGCACAATTTCGTCCAAATCGAAGGAAAGTCGTGGCATCGATTTCGACTTCTTTTAAACTCTTTCCTTCTTTCTTCTTGCTTCAAAACCTCTTCTCTCTTTCTCTATCTCTCAATTTCCTATTACTACTACTGCTACTACTCTTTCTCTCTCTCTCTCTCTCTCTCTCTCTCTCTCTCTTTCCATCTATCTATCTTTCCCTTTTTCCCTCTCTCTATTTCGCTCAAGTTGTCTCGAGGGAGAATTGCCAATATCAGTCCAGTTGGCGATTCTTCTATCGCCGATCGGAAACACGAAATTATAGCCGAGTAGATTGCACCAAGTGCTTTCGTCGGGCAGAATAAATTCCGCACACGTCGGTACACAAGCCTTTCCGTTTCCGAAAAAACTGAACGCCAAAAAATATATCTAACGCTCGTATAAAACGTACACACATACCCGGCGCTGTATTTACACTGCGGTAGTAATGTATTTATATATGCATATACATAGCTCGCTCCATTACCCCGTCCAAACCCTCGCTTAAATTATCGTCTCATTGAATATTCTATTCGGACGTACCATTCAGAAAACACAAAAGAGCTAGTCTAGTCGTCGCTTACTTGCCTACGACGCGCCGCGCCGTTTTTCCTTTGCGCGCTGCGATTCTTCACTTTCGTTCCTTCTCGTAATTTTTCATCAAAGTAAAAAAGAAAATAAAAGAAAAAGGAAAAAAAAGAAAAAGAAAAACGAGAGAGAGAGAGAGGGAGAGAGAGAGAGAGAGAAAAGAATAAGAGATATGAATAATTAAAAGCGGATTCCAAGGGCATTCTGTGAATTTGTCCCTTTTCTCTCTCTCTCTCTCTCTCTCTCTCTCTTTTTTCAATTATTATTATAATTAATATTATAATTATTTGCAAATATTTAAATAGGTATTATACGAACATAATAAATAATGTAAACTTGTAAGACTTAAAATATAATACCATCATGATATATCTCTCTCCCATATCATGATACCATCATGATATCCTCTGTTCCAATGAAATTTTCTTTTTTTCATCACTTTTTCTTTAATAGCTACTTAATACTCGTATCTTTTTCACAGATGTGCAACGAATGGGCAATAGATACACCATGTCCGGCGGGTGGCCGTGACTTCTGCCGATCCCTGCACATTTTGGATAGCCGAGGGAACAGCGTCTTGGCAAGCAAATTTCATTTTCTACTTGACCCTACCAACTCATTCTATCTCCACCATGATACCTAAAAGCCAATGGTCCCTTTCGAAATGGTTGAAACATTATATCATCTTTTTATTACGTTCTTACTAGATACTTTATCGACTAATTTATTATACTTCACTTTTATTTCTATCTCATTCTCTCTCTCTCTCTATTTATTTATTTATTTATCTATTTATCTTTTACTCTGGCTATGTTTCTTACTCGAGAATTCTCTAAATCGTTTCAATCGTTTAACAACTCTCGGCAAAGTTCGAAGTTAACGATTAACAAAGTCCCATTACCCGTTTCCCTAACATAGATTATTTGAATGGCTCATTTAAAAGTTAGGTCGAAATAAGAGTTACTTATTTCAATCTTTTAAAACTTTTCTGCCACAGGTGAGCAAAAGCTGTGCAAGTAGCGCAGAATGCGGCCCATCCTCCGTCGGTTGTATTCCGGTCGACACGCAGCAGGTGCGAGATACACAATATCTATTTCGACGTTTCGCAATAGAGATATAAGAAAAAATAAAAAAAATTAAAAAAATATATATATAGAAAAAAAAAAAGAAAGGGGAAAAATATTCGAAAGTTAAAAAAAAAACTCGATGAATTTCATTCGTTACAGATCTGCATAAGTTGCTGCGATCTGAGTTACTGCAACATCGAATCACCGACGAACGCGACGAACGCGATTTATTCTCGCAAACGACGGGCCAAATCGAAATCAAAACGCAAACGACCCGGTAGAAACGGAGTCGATGGTACAGACTCCAGGTTCTACGGGTCCGGAGTGTTTTGGCTCTTGGCCTCCATCTTCTATGCATATCATTGCTGAGGAAGGAGAGAAGACATCGCCGCAATCATTTAAGAGTCAAATAGAGACTTTAATCTATTTGATTATCCCTCGTTAAAGGAGAGGAAGATTATTAATGCGTATTACGTGAATATCTTTTTCTTCAAAGAAAAAAAAAAACAAAACAAAAAAATCATAAAAAAAAAGGAAAAAAAAATAGAAAAGAAAACCAAAAAAAAAAAGAACAAACAAAACCAAAATTTCATCGTCATCGTAATCACCATTATCCTCCGACATTGTCATCATTCTTTACCTCGGATTCGCGCAGATCATCGCGAAATCTTTTTCATTTCACAGATATTCCGAGGGACCTTTTTGTCCGATAAAGAAAAAAAAAAGAAACTAAGAGAAAAAAATCAAAAAACAGAAAAAAGAAAAATCAACAAAAAAAAAAAAGAAATTAAATGAGACACGCACACATACACGCAAACTCCTCGTGTACGTACACATATCCCAAATCGCGATTTTTTCGTGCGCGACGGTCCATCGCGAACGCGACCTTGAGCTCGCTCGATGTGTTCACATCATCCCTAATATTATATTATACACATTAATATGTTACATTATGTATATACGTATGCTATTCGACGTATGTATATATATATATATATATATATATATATATATATATATATAAGCTCCTAAAGGATTCTCTACGATCACGATATATCTCATATGCTTCGATATATATCGTACGGTCCAATTTTTCTGTGCTTCGTCTTTTTCCCTCTTTTTTCAGGAGAACACGCATATATACACGTATATATACAGAAACATGTACACGTTATTCCCGACGAAAGACTTTTTTTCCCGAGTGAATGAAGAATGTCGATTTTTTCGCGTGGAAATTATGTGAACGACGATCTATCTATGTTCCACCGATAATCGAGGATGTATACAATAAAGAAGCCTGCTCTGGCTATCCTTAGTTTTCTACTTTGCCCGTGAGAAGAATGTGAAAAAGGGAAAAAAAGGAGAAAGAGAGAGAGAGAGAGAGAGAGAGAGAGAGAGAGAGAGGAAGATGGTGATAAAAAATGAAAATAAAAAGAAGAGGCAAAAAAAAGTTCATGGAATGCGCGAAGGAACAAAAATTTCTGAATATTTCGCGAAATTATCGAGGATAACAAGAAAAAATATAAAAAGAAAAATACAACTCGTTTAGAATTAATCAAAACTTGATTAAAGATATATATATACATATATATATATATACATATATATATATACATATATATATACATATATATATATATATGTATATATATATATATATTGGTTAAGAAAATTATCACGATTACGATCTCGAAAGGGTCTACCGTGTCGTGAGAAACGTAGTTAAAAATTAAATATTCGGCACCGAAATCGTGTGTCGCGGTGATGAAAAAAGGAATTGTTTCATTCTCATAGTATCGTAGTTGTCATGCCTTGTTAGAAGGAGATAAGATATAGTTAATGAAAGAGAAAAACAGAAAAGAGAAAAAGAAAAAAAAACACACACACACATAATGCCAACAGAATATACCTACAATTAAAACAAAACTAAAAGAGGAGAGACAGAGAAAAATCACAACATTAAACGCTGGCGTATACTATATTCTTTTTCACGCATATATACACCCACACGCGTGCGTGTGCACGCGCACACATACACACATATATATATATATACAGAAATTAGGACGATTAAAAAATTAAAAGGATCTTCTTCTCGATAGCTCCAATCTCGACGAAAGAAAAAAAAAAGAAAAAACGATGAAAAAAAGAAAGAACGAGAGAGAGAGAGAGAGAGAGAGAGAGAGAGAGAGAGAGAGAGAGAGAGAGAGAAGAAAGAAAGGGACAGAGAGAGAAAGAGAGAGAGAAGAATCAGAACGTTAATTTTCGTGAGCACAACAAAAAAAATACGTTCCTTTCTTGTCGCAAGAACCATTAAGTGCTGATTATCTCGTCCGTTCTCTTGCAAATGATAAAATTAAAATTCACGGTAGCACGTGGAGAATGGAAAGTTTTCTACCTACCTAGCTATCTCCCTTCCTCCAACTCTTATTCCTCATCTCATTCCTCCCATCCGCTTTGCCAGCCTCGCCTCGCCAGTCTCAACCCTCATTCCCAGCACTCAGGCAATTTCTTTTTTCTCCTAACACGAAAAGATTATCCTCTAACCCGTTTAATCTGTCCTACCCAAAGGCCGTGTACCTTGTCCATTTCTTTCTTACCATCCCCGTATGAAGGGGAAAATGCAAAAATGGAATGTGTTCCATGTGTCCCTACTGACTCGTTTGAGTTTTCGCTACCTACCAGAGGTATATATATATGTAAATATATATATATATATATACCTTATATATATATATGGATGTGTGTGTATATATGTATGTATGTATGTATGTATATATGTATGAGGATCGATCGTTATCCTCCAGGCGACTGTTCAATTTTCCCGCGGTCTCTCACAGTACGTCCTGGAAATCGAGGTTAATCGTTGAGATAAGGTAGAAATCTTCCTTTTCGTTACGGACAAGCACACATACGCCTCGACATACGCAAATTACTACTGTTACTACTGTTGCTGCTACTGATACTGGTACTGGTACTAGTACTGGTACTGGTACTGGCACTGGTACTGGTACTGATGCTAGTGTTAGTGCTAGTGCTAGTGCTAGAGCTGGTGCTGGTGTTGGTGCTGATGCTGGTGTTGGTGCTGTAGCTCTACTTCTTCTATTCTCTAAAGCGACCATATGAACAACGCGAGGCTCATGGGACTCAAGAGATTTCTTTAAATTCTAAGTGAGTGAGAGAAAGAGAGAAAGAGAGAAAGAGAGAGAGAGAGAGGGAGAGAGAGAGAGAGAGAGAGATTAAACGTGTTTATCATATAATGCAATAATCGATCGAACGTTGAGCTTCGTTAATCGACATATACATACATATATATATATACATATTTATATACATATTTATATACATACATATATATATATATACATACGTACATTCATACATACATACATACATATATACATACATAAATACATATGTTGTATGTATCGAGGATCGACACTGTACTTTACGACGACGGAATTTCAATGAAAAATAAACCGAAATGACGCGTACCTAAAACTTGTTTAAATACCTACTGACTCGCCTATTACAGACTACTTATTGCTATAAACGATTATAAACGATTATATACATATATATATATATATATATATATATATATATAAATATATATATATATATATATATATAAATACATATATATATATATTATGATATAGACACTATACATTGTTTCGGCATGATGTAAGAATACTGTTGGTAATGAAATAAAAAAAGAGATATACTTGTCATATTGTTCATCATCCTCCTTCTTCAAAGATTCCAAAGACCAATCCAATATATATCTTATTCTCGTTTGTTATCTAAGTGTTACTAGATATTAAACATTAGAAATATCTTATAAAAGTACATACAAACTAATCGGATATTCGGTGACACAATGAAATCCTTTTATTAAGAGGTGTGAGAAAAATGTCTCTTGTGTGGAAAAAAAAAGCACTTACACGGTTTTCGAGCTAACACCTCTATTTCTTGCTGTTTCCTTTTTTTTTCTTATTTTTTTTTTTCCAAAAGTTTTCTCGGACGTTCTCGGAATACTCGGTTTTGTGTTATACCGACGGTAGAGTTAACCACGTGAAATAAATTAGTTAAATGAATTTTAGTTTGAAACTAGTTTTACGTGGATACATGCATTCTCGTATATATCGTCGAATCTCTCTCTCTCTCTTTCTTTAATCTTTTTTCCAAATTATTCATTCAATGAACTAGAAAACGGATTGCTTTACATTGATAACATTTTCTATTGTAATTCGTATCTATTCGTAGGTTTGCATACGTATTCGTTAAATGATTGTTGATCAGTAAATTACTGATTATATTAAACGAATAATATAATTCATATATAAAATGTTACTAGATAAAAATAGTTTCATTAAGCAACATAATAATATGTACTTAAAGCTATAAGATTAAAATTAAATTTTTCAAGTTAAATGAGATGAAGACTAAATTCGTAAGATTAAACATTGAAAGCTAAATGCTTCGAAATAAACGATTGAAAGTGCTTGAAACAAATCGAAATGTTTAAAACTAAACGTTGATGATTAAATTCGTAAAACTAAATGTTGGAAAATAAATTTTTAAAATTAAACGACTGAGGCAAAATGCTAACGAAAAATCAAACGATGAAAGTTAAATTTTATAAATTTTGCAAATGAAATGAAATGTATGAAATTAAAAGAGGAAGTTAAATTCTTAATGATAAATGTTGAAAGTCAAATTTCTATAACTAAACGTTAAAAGCACAATTTTTAAAACATTAATTTTATTAAATGTAAATTTTAAAATCTTAAAGATTCAACGAAAATTTCAAAAATCAAATATAATATAAATCGTATACTTAAAATTAAACGATTGAAACCACGAATAAATGAAAAGTCGCAACGAACGTTGTATAATAGAAAAGATATTCAAATCATACCCAATATCGATTTATCCTTTTTCTCGATGAAGATGAAAAAAAATCTCTGATGAAGATCTGCGTATTCTTTCGTCCATTATTTCTTATCACTTTTCCTTCATTAGATCCAACGAAGTCTTGTCAATATTCTAACGTCGAAGTCTTCGTTGATTAATACTCAGCTTTCGTCTTCTACAGATTTTATTAATATAATATTAAATTAATTTATTAAACAAGATAATTAACAATAAAAAAATATAAATTAATGGTATAAACGAATGCACACATACACACACACACACACATACACAAAATATATATATAATTTTTTTATTATTAATATTAATAATATATATTTGAATATAATATTAATATCATATACATAATTATATATATATATATTAATTATTGATTTATATAACATATATATAATAATATAGTATATTAATTAAACAGATTGATCAAAAGTACGAATATGAAAAATAATATGTGAATAAATAAAAAACTGGAACGCGTGTAGCGACTCGTCAATCGTATTAAATATTGTACGACGTCGCAATAACGACTGAACCAAAAGAAAACGAAATTGTAAGTATGTACTTATAACCTTACTACTGTACTACTCTCGATTGATCGATCAAAAGGATTGTCGAAAAAGTAAACAAATGTATAATAGTATTATTATCACTTGTGTGAATATTATTTCGTATAACTGTATGTTCAAATGCAATTCGATATCAAGTATTTATATAGATCAAAAAAACATACTACTAAATAGATCCTTATTTATTATTTATAAATTAAATAATAATCAATTATCTAATACATATGTATATGTATGTATGTATGTATATTATAGTATTAATAATATAATCAAATTAATTAATAGATTAATAGTACTAGATTAATAGCATAATATATGTATATGTATGTGTATATATATTATTATATTTAATAATTATTATGAATAATTATATATATTTAATATTATATTTATATACATACCTCATTTTTCCAACAATTAATTAATGTTTCTTCTCTTACCGATCATGTTCCTCACTAATTTGAAAAAAGCAGATAAGTCATATATCAAATACTTTAAGAGTTAGAACTTGTATTCTGATTGGCTGAAGAGCGAAAAATGGCTGTCGCTTATTGGTCGATGAAAATTCCTACCTTTTACGTCATCCAATAAACGTCAATGTTATTTTATACACATTACTCTTTATACTTACAAATATATTTCATATATTATTATTTGACATTTTACAATTTTTATTTTGTTTTGTAGTATAAAATATATCGAAGTATTAAAAAAAAATTTTCAAATTGTAAGCTTAATAACCTTAATATTCAAAAATATATTATTACATAAATTGTGAACAACAAATTAAAGTGTTTTCTCTTTAAAAAAGTTTTTTTTATTATAGTAATAAAATATTAACAAATTAATGAATAAAAGAATTTAATCATATTGTTAAATGTTATTAATTGTAAAGGAACACACTTTTATATACATTATCAAGCATTCTTACCTTGTAGAAAATGAGAACCAATCATCGCTATGGTCATGTGATCAGCCTCATTCGAAATTTTAGATTCAAGTCATGTAGACGGCGCTAGTAAAGATAGCGCGTGCGCAGCTACAAAATCTATATTAAAATGGAGGATAAGAATCAGGTCGTGGAGCGAGAGGCTAAGAAAGATGAAATTCATGAAAAAGATGGGCATTCCAAAAGGTACGTTATCAATCTTTATCGTACAATTCGCGTGCCATTTTTTTATTTCGATTGCAACATTTGTTTTCTTCGATCACTTAGAAGTAAAAATTGATGTGACGGCCGGTAGTTTTGCAGTCGGTACACTGAGACCTTCCAATGCAGCCACTGTATAATCATTAACGATTAATATTTCAATAAACATTATCTCTTCTTACAATATTATTTCATCTTTCCTTTGTAAAAACTTATTTTTCATTCTAACACTTTGGTTATGATTTATAAAGTAATAAATAAACATGTATATAATTTTTAGCTATAACATAAGTTTTCACCATTCCTATGTTATTAATTGAAAATATATAATCTATTAAAACTATACGTATAATTTTATAAATATCGATTTGTCTATGTGCTGTTAAATATCTTATCTTGATATTGAAACGTTAAATTCTATCTCATGTGTCTAGTTCTAAGAAAAGGAACCGTAAGAAAAAGAAACAACCAGTACATTCCACGAGTGAAAATCACAATAATGCAGGACACAGTGAAGAAAAAAATCTTCACAGTGCTTGTAATATCTCCATAAAGGAGATACAAATGGCTATGGAAGTATTTAATATGCAACAAAAGCCTGCCAAAACCCAAGAAGAAGCAATGCAAAAGCCTTATCAATTTTGGAGTACCCAACCAGTACCTAAAATGGGTAGGTTTGCAAAAAATGTTTATAATTAAAGTAAGTACGTATGTAAAGTAATTTTGTCATCATAAAATTTTAGATGAAAAAATTGTGTGCAATGAACCAATTGAACCTGATAAAACTTCCATAAGGGCCGAACCTTATTCGTTGCCAGAAGGTTTTCAATGGGATACTTTAAACCTTGATGATCCTTTGGTATTAGCAGAATTATATTCTCTGCTATCAGAAAACTATGTAGAAGACGACGATGCGATGTTTAGATTTGATTATCCACCTATATTTTTAAAATGGTCATTATTATTACATATAAAACTTATAAATAATAAAAAAGATGATTACTGGAATATCTATGGATTTTTAGGGCATTACAACCACCAGGATGGTGTAAAGAATGGCACTGCGGTGTTAGAGTCAGCAAAAGCGGACGTCTAGTCGGTTTCATTTCCGCTATTCCAGCTACTCTACGCATTTATAACCAGTGAGCATACAATAGTTAAATCATAATTTTATTGTATTTCTTCTCTAATTCTTGAATTTATTTTAGTACTAAAAAGATGGTTGAAATAAATTTCTTGTGCGTACATAAGAAATTAAGATCCAAAAGGGTTGCTCCTGTTCTGATACGAGAAATTACAAGGAGAGTAAATCTTCAAGGAATATTTCAGGCTGTGTATACTGCTGGAGTTGTATTACCAAAACCAGTTGCAACTTGCAGGTATTTCATTACTAATAAACAAATATTTTTTTTCAAATGTATACACGTATTGTATTTCTATAAAATTCATATTCATTATTATGCTTAGATATTGGCATCGATCGCTTAATCCAAAGAAGCTTATTGAAATTAAATTTTCTCATCTCTCGCGTAACATGACTATGCAAAGAACTTTAAAACTGTATAAACTGCCAGAGAACACCAAGGTGCCTGGATTTAGGAAGCTCGTTTATACAGATATTCCACAAGCTCACAAAATTTTAAGCGATGTGAGTTTCAATATTTCAATCAATATTTCTTAATAGTATATAAATGAAAAAAAAAAAAAAAAAAAAAAAAAAAATATATATATATATACATATATACATACATCGTATGTTTCAGTACTTAGAAAAATTTGATCTGGCACCGATTTTTACAATCGAGGAATTTCAACATTGGTTCCTTCCACAAAATGGCATGATCAATACTTTTGTAGTGGAAAATGATGGTAAAATTACGGATATGGTTAGCTATTACACATTACCAAGTTCAATAATGCATCATCAAGCACATAAGACTTTAAAAGCCGCATATAGTTTTTACAATGTCTCCACCGTCACTCCATGGCTCGAGCTTATGACCGATGCTCTTATATCAGCCCGTAACGTAAGTCTAAACATCTTTCATCGTATCCTATTGTTTAGAAAAATCCTATTGTTAAAGAAAAATTATTTTACACAGTTGGGCTTCGACGTATTTAATGCTCTGGACTTGATGGATAATAAGGAGTTCTTGGAACCTTTGAAATTTGGTATTGGCGATGGTAATCTCCAATATTATTTATATAACTGGCGTTGTCCAAGTATGACGCCTGGAAAAATTGGTTTGGTGCTCCAGTAGACTTCTAGATCAACATGTTGTTGACTAGAATATAAAACGATTGTAAGCTTGCGTGAGTGAAAGAAAAGAATGCAAGAGTGTGAGTGACGAGAAAGAAATATGGCAATATGAGATGACACGTAAGAATATAAAACGATACAAAAAAAGAAAATGAAGAGGAGTGCGGAACCTCTAATATTTCCGCGATTACAAAGGATAATAAAAGAAAAAAATAAAAAAAAAAACAAAACAAAAAAAATAGCGAGCAAATGAACGTTAAAATAACAGCGGAAGAAGAGGGAGGAGGGTTGAATGAATACGTGTGAAAAAATCTTTCGATACTGTGAGTCGATCTCTCAGTAATTTCGGATATCATTCTTTCCAACGTCCTTGATACTCGGACATGACGAGACAGGGACATGGTCAAGATCAGTACGGTGTAGAGAAAATATTGCATGCGCCAACGCGAGTGTATATACGTATATTATGTGCGTGATTCGAGCAATGTAGATAAGTATCGTAACTTTAGTAACTTGACCGACCCACGCAAAGGGTGAGAACATAAACAACTAGGATGCGATCTAACTTCTTCGAGAGAACTATGTTTCCTTTGCACCTTCTTGACAAGATAGATGATAATGCGTATGTCAAGGTAAGAATGAAAAACAACAAAAAAAAAAAAAAAAAAAAAAAAAAAAAACAGAATTACAATAAAATGAGATTCGTCGGCAAAGTATCCCTCTTTTCTCTTCTCGTTACCTTCTTTTTTAATTATTTATTTTCTTTCTTCCTTTCTTTATCTTTCTTTTTCTTCTTACAATGATCGATCACAAATGTAAAATGTTTTTATATTAATACATGAAATATTTTTATCCTTAAAAAGCTACCCGTCCTTTTTCCTATACACGTAGCTTGATCGATTTCACTGACAACTCACTGCTACCCATCGACGATAAGATAGCTTCGAGAAGACAAAAGAATGGACAAAAGACGTCAACTTTCGGAAAACTCGACATTTATCCCGCATATCATTGCTTACTTTCATCTATTTCTTCTTTTTTTCTTTTTTAATTTCATTTAAAAACATATTATAACAAAAAAAAAAAGAAAAAGAAAACACTTTACGAATTGATCCAACGAATGTAAACAATTACATTCGATTATTGATTTGTCAGCCGTAAATACGATTTATATATTATATTTTATTCATTTATCACGATATTATTGTACTTCTCGGCGCGTTTTTTTTTTTTTTTTTTTATTTTTTTTTTTTTTTTTTTTATTTTTTTTTTTATGTAACTCATCTTCTATGATTGTTCAACAGGCATACGCACACAATCCCATCACATCTCCCTCCCCCCTCCATATACGCAGAAAACTGTATAACTCACGGATATGCTCTCTCAACAGAGAAAAAGTTTTTCTTTGTAACTGCCGCTCTAGATAAAAACGACCGTCTCGAAGAACTCCGACGGTCGACATGCAAGGCCTTCTTCTCAAGATAAAAGAGAAGAAACTATGTTTCTGTCACAATTAGCTAACTTAACATTTGTATTCTATTTAGATAGGATGTTAGCAGGCACACATCCTCCGATAAGTTCGTAGGCACAACAAACATTAATTTACACCGATAATAATACACATCCGTCAATAAATATTTATTATTCATACCGGCGACCGATGAAAAAAAAAAATAAATAAATAAAATAAAAAAAAATAAAAATTGTCTCATCACATCCAAATTGTATTTCTATCTAATTTGATCGATTAAATCGTATAAATATCGAATTTTATCGAATCATAAGAAGAATATTTGACGGGATTAATTCAATTAGGATTATGTCAAACGTGCTATTATAAAATGATAAAACGTGCAACAAACGATACGAATGTTTTTTCACCTAATACAATATGAAATCTAACAAGGTGCAAATTATAAATCAAATTATGATGTAAAACTCGTATCGTTGATTATCTATCGACAAATGTTTTAAAAAGAACCATCGTTAAAAATTATACGACATTGGAAATATATATATATATATATATATATATATATATATATATATATATATAAAAAGAAGAAAAGTAAATGTCGCCATAACCGATATAAAAAATACGCAGTACGTAGTTTATAACTTCTTCGAACATTGTAACACATGTAATAAACGGAGGAAAAGTACTTTTACTACTTCCGTGTTTAAAATTATATCGTATTCTGCGGGTATCAAGTCAATATTAATATTCATGTCTTTGACGTTTTATTTATCTAAGAAAATATTGCTGTTATATAAGAAAATTTCATATTATCATATTTTATTATTTTTAATAGAAACGTTATAATTTGCAAATTTAACTGCTACCATAAGTTAATACATGCACCATTTTTATTTCATCTTGTTATATATATATATATATATATATATATATATATATATGTTATATTTACATGTATATACGTATATACATAACAGAGTTCACTTAAACACACATGTGAAAGTATTCACGATAAGCGAATATCCTTCGTTCGGTAATAATCCCCCGTTAAATCGTGTGCGATCCATAAAGTTATCATATTTCGTGCTCTCGTTTATATTTACAGTACTATTTAGATTCGCAGTCATTGGTACACTTGCAATTGCTCGATAATATAACGCAAATATCATTGACACGAGGGTCATACTGTTGCGGACTCTGTAATTCCTTTGGGAATAGAAAAAGGCCAACTCTTAAAGATAAATTTAAATGCGGCTTGCAAAACGTGAGAGTATTACACGAGATAAAGAAGTAGAAAGAGAGAGAAATATGTTTACTCTCGTTCATCCACGAACGACCCTTTTGCTCTTTTGAAACTTAGGAAACGTAAAGAGAGTCGTTCTTAACGTGCCATTGATAATGGAAAGGAAAAAAGGAAAAGAGAAGAGAAAGTAGAATATGAGAGGATAAAAAAAAGGATGCGGAAACAAGAAAAAAAATGCCATACAATATCCCGGAACAAGAGATAACGCTTCGTATGTCACTGATAGAAGTACGTAGGTGGGGAACACAAGACACGATGCGGGATAAATACTGGCCCGAAATCGTACGGAATTCAGTCGCAGTTCTGGTGTACTATCATCGTTAACGTTTTTTTATAGACTAGAATTTATTACGGAAGAATTGCAAAGATCGATCGATCGTAATATAATTCGAACGACGTGGAATTTAAATAGAAAAAGAAATTCATAATATGTGAGAAGCTCGTTTAGCGAACGTATAGTTATTAAAATTATCTGGATTGGCCTTACTAAATCATGCTCCTAGTGATCCTTTTTCTTTACTTACTTCATCCCTTAGTGAACGGCAATTTAAACAGGTAGCTACTGTCTAACGAAAGAATAAAAGAAAGAAAAAAGAATCCAAAGAATAGTACTAGCAAGTTTTCTTTTTCTTTTTTTTTTCATCGAACGATATCTATGAGAGTTATATTATCACAATAGATCATTTTATGAATGATCTTGGTTTTCCTCCAGCTTGATCAATCGATATGTTAATAAGTTTATTTCAATCTCTTTTTTATAGCCTGTTTGAAAATGGAAAGTATAATTAAATCTGTTTTGAATTAGTTATAAAACGGGCTATCTATTCTATTTTAGTTTTGGAATTTTATATACTTATAAAATTATATATATATATATATAGAGAGAGACGGAAAAAAGAGAGTAAAAGGATGAGTTCAAGTTCAAACACATCGGTGTATCTTATCTAATATGTGTCATTGTCCCTGGAGTCAGCATATAATATCACCGCCGATGATATCCATCCCCCTACTTAACTTTATCAGAACGAATTGGCCGAAAAAAATCTTTAACATTTATTGGAATGTTCCTACCTATTTTTGTCATCAGCATCACATCTACTTCAATGAGTTGACAAAATTTGATATCAAATATAATTCTAAGGAAAATTATCGCGGTGAAACGATATCACTCTTTTATGATCCTGGAAATTTTCCTGCTATGGTGCCACTCAAAAATGGTAATCTTTTACTCTTCGTTTTTATCTCTATCTTATATAAATTTTAAGGTACGATATTCGTATTGAAAATATTTTTAAATTCCTCTTTAAATATCTTTACTTCGATCAATTGTGAAATCTTATTAGATAATTGTTTAGGCACATATGACATAAGAAACGAAGGAGTTCCTCAAAAAGGTAACATCACAGTTCATCTCCAACAATTTACCAAAGAATTAGATGAAATATATCCAAAGAAAATTTCCGGTGGTATTGGTGTAATAAACTTTAATAAATGGAGACCAATCTTTCGACGCAATGTGAATAATTTAAAGATAAATAAGGAAGTTTCCATAGATCTTGTTCGCAAGGAACATCCAAAATGGGATAAATCAATGATCGAAACGGAAGCGTCGAATAGATTCGAAAAATCTGCCAGAATATTTATGGAAAAAACTTTAAAATTGGCGAAGGATATTAGGAATAAGAATAAATGGGGTTATCACGGGTATCCCTATTGTCCTACTGCTTCAACTGGTAATCCTAGCTTTGATTGTGACGCTCTAGCAATGAACGAGAACGACAAGTACGAGATTAGAAATATTTGATTGGAATAAGTTAATTCATTTCATACGATCGATCAACAATTATGATTTTATTAAACTTATATTATTAATTTTTTCATTATGTATAACATACGATAAATATGTTTGAATAATTTGCACTTATTTCCCATGATATTTATCAGTACTTGAACAAACGATTAGCGTGGGATTCTTATAAAAAGCAAACGGTCTATGATTAACAAAGTCAATGTTAATTATTTCGTATTGAAAGTTAGAGTATGTCAATAATTTAGCTTTCTATTCTATGTTATCTAATCGTTCATTTAAAAGATCGTACGTTTCTCATACAGGCTATCGTGGCTATTCAAGCATCAAGACGTACTTTTGCCATCCGTCTATGTGAAACATGTTCTAAAACCAGAGGAAAAAATTGGTCTAGTGCGAGGAAGTGTGAAAGAAGCTGTTAGAATCTCAAAAAAATTTGAACATTTACCTAAAGTTTTATCTTATTGGTGGTACGCATATGAAGATAAAATGGACACTTTTCTTACCGAGGTTAGTAGTATTTTATTTAGAAATTTAAAATATCATGCTTATAAAAATTAAATTAAATCGTATCCTCTTAACTTCTCAGTTATTAAATATTTTATACTTTCTTATATTCGATTTTTATATTCTCATAGACCGATGTGAAAAATACTTTTCAAGAAATTCTTATTAATGGTGGGGATGGTATTATTATATGGGGTACCATGCATAACTTAAACAACAAAAAGAAATGTGAAAAATTGAAACAGTACTTATCGACGATTTTGGGACCAATCGCTTTTAAAGTGATGGAAGCTGTCAAAAAAAGAACACCATTAAACTTTTAATACAATCTATAACCTATTACCGATGGTGATAGGGTGCGTTCAATGATCTGCTTTGAAAAATATTACTCTTATTGCAACGATATCATCACATTGAAAAGATTTGTCACAAACAAAAAATAAAACTGTAATTTACAAGATCACAACATTAATAATCAAAGTAAAAAAATAATTAATAATTAAATTAAAAAAAATAAGTATATATCAAAAAATATTATGTGTGACGTATATGTACTTAATCTAATTCCTTTGTGACTAAAATCAATAAATGTATTTCTTCGCATTAAGAATGATGCATAATCCTTTAAAATAATATTCCAAGTATGTAACAATATTCTTCGTCACAATAATTCCGGAAGTATTAATTAAAATACAGAATCCTAAAAAGAGGAAGAAAGACGAAATTAAGAAATACTACGTACAGGTATAAAGTCATTAAGAGCGTTTAACTATTAACGAGTAAGAATCACTATCATGATTCTCGATCTTCGTCACCTTTTCCTCCCCTTCCTCTTCCTCTTTCCCATTCTTCACTTCTTCCTGTTTGTTTCGAAGTAGCAAATCGAGCGAAGTTTACAACAAATATACTTTAGCACTAACAGGCAAGTTTTACTTGTCCGAGGTGTAAGATCTCAGGCAATTTCATTTTTTACACATGATTACATCGAGTAGAGGTAATCAAAGATCTCTTTTGCTCACAGTGGATGATCCACCATTTTCTCTCTCTCTCACTCTCTCTCTCTCTTTCTCTCTGTTTCTCTTTCTCTCATTCTCTCCCTTTGTCCCTCTTCAACTCTCTCTTGACAATCATGCATCTTTCTTTGTTTTGTGTCAAGAATACTACGAGAGCTCTTAAGAGTGAAGGAAAGTGAGTAGAAAAAAGTAAAAATGATGGTTATTAGTAAACATATACATACTTTTTAACTGTAATAAAAATGTCATAACTTAAATAAATGACATTATGTAATCTTTTAAAACTATGAATATAATTTTTGTGTAGGCGTACTATTAAATATCTTGTCTGTTATCGAAACGATCAATTCTATCTTTTGTGTCTGGTTTTAAGAAAAAAAAAAAAATCATAAGAAAACGAAACAGTCAGTACATTCCACGAGTGAAAATTACAATGATACAAAGACATAGTGAAGAAAAAAATCTTTAGTTTACTTGTGATATTTGAATAAAGGTGATACAAATCGATGTGGAAGTATTTATAATATGCAATAAAAACTCGCTAGAAATATTAATAAAGAAACAATACAAAAATCTTATCAATTTTTGAAGTATGCAACCAGTACATAAGATTACCTCTGCTATCAAAAAATTATATTGAAATCAAGGATGATATACTTAGATTTGATTATCGAACAATATTTTTGAAATGATAATTATTATTACGTGTAAAAATTTCAAATAACAAATAAAAAACAGATTGCTAAAGTACATACCCATTTTTAGAATATTATAACCACAAAGATGTATAGAATGTCACTGTCATGCTAGAGCCAGAAAAAAACGAATGTTTTTTCCGGTTTCATTTCCCTAATCCAGCTATTCTATGCTTACATAACCAGCATTTGATTTATATTTATATCTCACTTTTATTATATTTTTTCTCTAATCTTTGGATTTATTTTACCGGTAAAAAAATGGTGGAGACAACACATTTTTTGTATATACATAAGAAATCAAGATTCAAAAATATTGTAAAAATTATTATTATATTGAATTATATTATTATATTGAACAATATTTTATTTATATGTATAAAATTGTAATGGCTAAACATATTGGTTTGGCAACTAAGTGATTGCGGATTTTGTCGATAGATGGACTTTACACTTTCTGCAATCACTTAGTTGTCAACCCAATAAATATATTAAATTGTATATTTTTGTTAATCACAATGAGTGATACATAACAGGAAAATGAATTTTTATTCATGGACAATCGAAATATATACTGATTTATTCAAATATACCATGGTGTCCAAATATTTTTGTCAATATATGTATATATATATATATATATATATATATATATATATATATACATATATATGTATATATTGGATTTCGATGTATTCGATGCATTAAATTTAATGGATTGGAAATTCTGAAATTTGGTATTGGCGATAGTAATCTCTAATATTACTTATACAACTGGCGTTGTTCAAATATGAAATCCGAATATTCCAATAGACTTTTAAATCAATATATTATTCACTGAAATATAAGAGAAAGAAACATGGCGATATTTGATATACACATAAGAATATGAACGACGAAAAGAAAATGAAGAAGAGTGCGGAACTTCCAATATTTTCGCGATTACAAAGGATAATAAAAAGAAATAAAAAAAAAAAAAAAAAAAAAAGAAACAAAATGAACGTTAAATAACAGCGGAATAGAGTTGAATAAATGCGTGTGGAAAAATCTTTCAAGACTGTAACTCGATTTATTAATGCTTTCGGATATCATTCTTTCCTACGTCCTTGGTACTCGACAAAAGATGACAGGGGGACAGGGTCAAGATCGGTATGATGTAGAGAAAATATTGCATGTGCCAAAGCGAATGTATATATGTATATGTGCGTGATTCAAGCAATCCAGATAAGTATCGTAAAGTTAGTAACTTGACCGAACCACGCAAAGGATGAGAACGTAAACAACTAGAGTGCGATCTAACTTTTTCAAGAGAACTATCTTTCCTTTGCACCTTCTTGGTCAAGATAGATGACAATGAGTATCATGATAAGAATGTCAATGTTAAGATAAGAACGAAAACAAAGAATTAAAATAAGATTCATTGATGAAATATCTCTCTTTTCTCTTCTCGTTATTTTCTTTCTTTAATTATTTATTTATTATTTATTTATTTATTTTTTTCTTTATCTTTCGTTTTTCTTACAAGAATCGATCACAAAAGTTCTTGATGTTAACAGATGAAATATTTTTATCCTTCAAAATTATACGTCCTTCTTCCGGGACTCAGCTTGATCGATCGCACGGCCATTGTGAGTTATCCACCAACGATAAGATAGCGATGAGAAAATGAAAGAATGAACAAAAGATGAAAAATTTTGAAACGTCGATTTAACTCGGTATTTATTCGAATACTTAATTTAATCTTATTTAGCTTAATTTAATCTATTTCTTTTTTTCTTTTCTTTTTTTCTTTTTTCAATTTCATTTAGAATCAAAATTCGCTCTTATTATAATAAATAAAAGAAAAATCGAACGTAATTGTTCGATCTAACAATTACGTTCGATTATTGAATCAATCGAAAATACGAAATTTATGTTTCATTGATTCATTGCGCCATTTATTGCGACAACTCGACGTATTATTTTTTTTTCTCTTATAAAAATTAACTCGTCTTTTATAATTGTCCAACAAGCAAATATATATATACACACACACACACACACGCAAAGAGAAAACTATATAACTCACGGACACATTCTCTTAACAGAGAAAAGTTTTTCTTTGTAACTGCCGCTCTAGATAAAAACGCCCGTCTCGAAGAACTCCGACGGTCGACATGCAAGGCCTTCTTCTCAAGATAAAAGGAACGAAACTATGTTTCTGTCACAATTAGCCGGCTTAACATTTGCATTCTATTTAGATAGGATGCTACCAGACACATCCTCCGACGAGTTCGTAGGCACAACAAACGTTAGTCTACAACGATAATAATCCACATCCGTCGATAAGTATTTATTCCCCGTGCCGTTGACAAAAAGAAAAGAAAGAAAAAGTGAAAGGAAAAGCAAAGAAAAAAACAAAAAAAAAAAGAAGAAAAATGTCTCACCGCAGCCAAATTATATTTTTTATAACATCTAAGTAAACGATCGATTAAATCGTATAAATATCTTGTATTATCGAATCATAAAAATATTCGTGTAAAGTTAATTCAATCAGATTATGTCAAATGCATTATTATAAAATGATAAAATGTGCGACAAACGATACGAATGTTTTTTATCTAATGAAATATGGAGTCTAACGAGGTACGGATTATAAATTTAATTATGGTATAAAGTTCCTAACGTCGATTATATCTACCGACGTGTATTTTAAACTGACCGTCGTTAAAAATTATACGACGTTGGGAATATACAAAAAAAAAAAAAAAAAAAAAAAGAGAAGAAAAGAAATAAAGAAAATATCGCTATAGCCGATATAAAGAATACGAAGTACATGGTTTATGACTTCCTCAAACACTGTTCTACATGTAATAAACGAAGAATATTTTTACTACTTCCATAATATAGAACGTTTTATACTAGATATCTAGACGTACGGATATCTAATCAATCTTAACATTGTTAGTTTTAACGTTTTGTTGACGTGTAAAAAAATATTACAATTTCATACTGAAGTATTATTTTATTCAATGAACTCGTTATTATAATTTGAAGCATTAACTGCGACCATAAGTTACCGCATACAATATTTTTATTTCAACTTGTCACGTCCTATATACATTCATAACATAAAAGTTTACCTAAATACAAAATGTAAAGTATTTGTGATAAACGAGTATCCTTCATTCGACAATAATCCCCCTAAATCGTAAAATTATCTTAGTTCGTGTTCTCGATTGTATGTACAATTTTATTTCGATTCACAGACATTGGCACACTTGCGACTCCTCGATAAGATAATGGCAAGTATCATTGACTCGAGGGTCATATACTTGCAAAATCTTGTAATCCCTTTTGCGTAGTAAAAAAAGATGGACCCTTAACGATCGATTTGGATGCGGCTCGCAAAATGTGAAAGTAAAAAAGAAAAAGAGATAGATAGAGAGAGAAAGAGAGAGAGAGAGAGAGAGAGAGAGAAAGAGAGAGAGATTTGCTTTCGTTCATGCTTGAACAACAACCCTCTTCTTCTTTCGAAGCATCGTAAAGGTCACCCTTAGCGGACGTCAACGTGCCATCGATAATGGAAAGGGAAAGAAAGAGAGGCGAGAAAGGAGAATATAAAAGGAAAAAAGAAATATGCGGAAACACGAAAAAACGTCAAACAATAGCCCGGAGTAAGAGATAACGCTTCGAGTCACTGGTAGAAGCACGTAGGTGGGGAACACAAGACACACAGACACGATGCGGAATAAATAGTGGTGTGAAATCGAGCGGAATTCAGTCGCACTTCTGGTGTACTATCGTCGTTAACGTTTTTCTATACACGAGAACGCAGTACGGGAGCATCGCAAGGATCGATCGATCATAGTGTGACTCACTCGACGTGGAATTAAATAGAGGAAAAAAAAAGAGAAAAAAAAGAGAGAGAAAGAGAAAGAGAAAGAGAGATAAAGTTCCTTTAGAATTGATAACACATATGAGAGTCTCATTATTGAACGGACAATTATCAGTATCAGCACGATTGTCCTTACTAAATCATGCTCCTAGTGACCCTTTTTCTTTTTTTTCTTCAGGCCTTAGTGAACGGCGACTCTTGCGGGTATTGTCTAATTAAAAAAAAAAAAAAAAGGGAAAAAAAAAGAAAAAAAAGAAAAAAGAAAAAATGGAAAAAGAACAAAAAAGAAAAGAAAAAAGAATGTAAAAGTGAAAGGAAAAAGAAAAAGAACACAATGAGTGTGGCGCTTACAAATTTTTTTCTTTTTCATTCATCTTATCTATGGGAGTTATATTATCACAATAGATCATTTTATGACTGACCTAGTTTTCCTGCGGTGTAATCGATCAATACGCTAATAAGTTTATTTTAGTCTCTTTTACATAGCTTCTTCGAAATTGAAAAATATAGTTAAATTTCTTTCGAATTAAATGTAACGCCCGTTATCCTGGTATTCTATTTTAACTTTCGAATTTTGTATATATATATATATATATGGTTATATATATATATATATATATATATATATATATATAACTATATATAAAGAAAGAAAAGAGAGAGAAAGAGAGAGATGAATTCAAGTTCAAATACATCGGTGTATCTTATCTAATATGTGTCATTGTCGCCCGAGTCAGTATATAATATTACCACCGATGACATCTCCCGCCTAACTTTTCCAGATCGAATTGCGAAAAATCCGAGAGACCGAAAAGAGTCTTCAACATTTATTGGAATGTTCCTACCTTTATGTGTCATCAATATGGTCTCTACTTCGACGAGGTGACAAATTTTAATATAAAACATAATTCTAAGGACAATTTCCAGGGAGACAAGATAGCAATTTTTTATGATCCTGGAGAATTCCCGGCGTTATTGCCACTCAATTATGGTAAAATTTTGCTTTACAATTTATCTCTATCGTATATGGATAAATTTTTTTCAATGATATCGACATCGAAGATTTCTTTGAATTTTTCTACAACAGGTATCGTTGCATCGATAAAATGAATCTTACATGTGTAAATCTTACATATTGTTTAGGCAAATATAAGATAAGAAACGGTGGAGTTCCTCAAGAAGGTAACATAACGATACATCTTCAAAGATTTATCGAATATTTGGATAAAACATATCCAAATAGAAACTTCAGTGGTATCGGTGTAATCGACTTTGAAAGATGGAGACCGATCTTCCGACAAAATTGGGGCAATATGAAGATATATAAAAATTTTTCAATAGATTTAGTTCGCAAAGAACATCCATTCTGGAATAAAAAGATGATCGAATTGGAGGCATCGAAGAGGTTCGAAAAATATGCCAGACTTTTCATGGAAGAAACTTTGAAATTGGCCAAAAAGACTAGGAAGCAGGCTGATTGGGGTTATTATGGATATCCCTATTGCTTTAATATGTCGCCTACTAATTTCGTTCCTGATTGTGACGTTA